CACATTTCATTACACCAAAGTCACAAAATAATGTTCTTTTTAGCAACATCATATGACCCCTTTAAATTATTTTATTATAAAACAGTCATTGTAAACTGCTTTCATTCCTCATTCAGAAAGTGCTTGCATCGCGTAAGGAGCTGCTGGAGTATGACCTGCAACAGCGGGAAGCTGCTACCAAATCATCCCGCACCTCCACACAACCCACCTTCACAGCCAGCCAATATCGCGCCCTGTCTGTGCTGGGATGCGGGTACACATCCTCCACCAAGTGCTACGGCTGTGCGTCTGCAGTCACGGGCCACTGCATCACTCTACTGCGTGCACTGGCAACCAACACTGCCATCAGGCAGATCCTGGTACTGCAGGGTCTCATCCGAGAACTGTTTGAGTACAACCTGCGCCGTGGCACTGGAGCCATGAGGGAGGAGGTCCGCCAGCTCGTCTGTTTGCTTACCAGGTATATACACACACAAATATCCAAATCTCTGAAGAGACTAGCTAATACTGTTTGTTTTACAAGATGTCAACTACTTTTGCATCAATGTATTTTGCAGAGATCACCCAGAAGCCACACAGCAGATGAATGACCTCATTATTGCCAAGGTGTCAGCTGCCCTTAAAGGTCACAGGGCCAACCCTGATCTGGTAACGGTCTTTATTACATAGTAAAGATCACATGTAGCTACTGTTTTTGATGCCTGTGGTAGATCTGTAGTACTTATTTGACTGTTTCTTACAATTGTCGTCTCCTCTCATTTAGGTCAGTAGTTTGCAGTATGAAATGCTGCTGCTTACAGACTCCATTGCTAAGGAGGGAGGATGCTGGGAGCTCAGACTTCGCTGTGGTGAGTCCTGTGGTGGATTTCCAGAGCTAAAAGTCTGAACCTTTATTTTTCCTTAAGCTGTCGATGCCAACCCTGAAACAACATAAACTACCAAATTTTGCTACAAGTTTGATTGCAACATAATTATTGCTGTTAATAGTGTTCATCGTCTGTTTGATTACGTCATTAACTGAATTTTACCGTACATTTCTGCCATATGTACATAAATTTGACATAGTCACCACTGACAAGCTACTAATAAATATATTGTAGAAACTTAATTTTCTGTAAAGCTGCTTTGCAACGATTCGTATCGTGAAAAGCTATATACAAATAAACTTGAAATGAATTGAATTGCTGTAGCTGTTCCACAGAAATATAATCTCTGTGTCAGATCATATCAGTTATTGGCCAATATTGGAGATGCTGTGATCAATATCACGATATCACATATCACAAATATCTGAATCATTTTAATAATAGGCTACTTAAATCAAAACGATCAAACAACAAAACGGCTATAACAAAGATTAATCTAAATTTAATTCATACAGTGAACACTATGCAGTGTTATTTTACACTTAATTATTACATTTCTGTACCTGAATACTACAGTTTATATTATCTATGCTTGTAAATTGTGTATTTCTTTTTCTTTTTTTTTTACTGACTGTTCACTTGCCTTTAATCATGTTTGAACTTTCTCAGACTATAGCTTTTGCTGTGGCATATGAAGAAGTACTTAAAGTGTATGGAAAGCAAAGTTACAATGATATAAAATTAGTGTCATTAATTTTTTTTGTTTGTATGTTCACACTGATGTTAAAATTACATTTTCTGATTTGTGACATTACTTTTTATGTAATGCTAAAACACTGCTGGTCACTTTCAGAAGTTGTAGTGATTCCTTCTTTTCCAAGAAAGAATGTGAAACAAATTGGTTATATAATTTTCATTTTTAAATATTTTAAAATATAACTGAAATTGCTTTTATACACTTTAAGCAATATCGTATCGCATATCGAATATCACATTTTTTACAAGGTATCGCATTTTTCTTCAATATCGCACAGCCCTGTTACCTACTCATGCTTCTCTTTTTTTAATTCATGTTTTCTTTTACTAAATTATATCCTTATAGTTATTATAAAAGTCATAATCATTACATATTATGTAATTATGATGATTAATTAATATATTCTGTTATGAATAATTAACATTTTATCTGTAATAGCTAGAATTTTAATATTAGTGCTTCCTACTCAAGCCTCTGTTTATTTTCAGCACTGAGTCTGTTCTTGATGGCGGTGAATATAAAGACCCCTGTGGTCGTGGAGAACATTACACTGATGTGCCTGAGGATCCTGCAGAAACTCATCAAACCTCCTTCCCCAACCAGCAAGAAAAACAAGGTTCGACAGACTTGCAGTACTGATGAGGTTTTAATCGATAAGTATTGATGCACTTACCTGACTTGTACTCTCTAACAGGATGCTGCCGTCGAATCCCTGACTACAGTCAAGCCATACAACAACGAGATCCACGCACAGGCCCAGCTCTGGCTCAAAAAAGACCCCAAGGCCTCTTATGAAGCCTGGAAAAAGTGCCTTCCTGCTAGATGTAAATATCCAAACTCTGCATCAGCAGTGTTCTCCGTTATTTCCATCAAACGGTTTACTTAATTTTGCTCTCTTGTCTATCGCAGGTCAGGAAACAGTCTCTAAACCTTTGAATAAGGCTGAGATCAGGAGGCAGTACCTGATGGAGAAGTACGTGTGGAAGTGGAAGCAGTTCATGAGGTCCAGGTCAGAAGGCCTGTTCCCTCGCCTGCTCAAACTGGGTCATAACAACTGGCTGAGACAGGTATGTGCTCTCTCTCAAAGCACTCTAGAGTGTCTAATTCTTTTCTGCTTTAATGTGCTCTAATGTAATCTGACTCTTCTCATAGGTGCTCTTCACCCCAGCCACCCAGGCAGCAAGACAGGCGGCTTGCACCATCGTCGAAGCTCTAACAACAATCCCCAGCCGCAAACAGCAAGTTCTGGACCTTCTAACAAGGTACATTTGACATGAATGAATAAAACAATCCTTTTTGAACCAGATTTTTCCATATTAGGCTCAATCGAGCAAGATGTAGGAGTCATTTCCAAGTTTTTGTTGTTTGTTCTTCAGTTATCTGGATGAGCTGAGCATTGCAGGAGAGCGTGCTGCAGCGTACCTGGATTTGTACCAGAAGCTCATCAAACCTGCTCACTGGAAGGTTTACCTGGCTGCCCGTGGTGTCCTACCATACATCGGCAACCTCATCACCAAGGTATCGTCAAAAACTGTAGATACTATAGTGTTATATAGTGAGGATGTGTCATTTCCATTAACCTAAACTTATGTGGTGTTCTTCAGGAAATTGCTCATCTACTAGCCCTTGAAGAAGCCACACTGAGCACAGACTTACAGCAGGGATACGCCCTCAAGAGTTTGACAGGTGAATTCAAGCTTTTGTGTCTTGTTCAAGTTAAACTCAGAGAACTTCCTGAGAGCCTGTGGCTTGTTTTAACAGTTTCTCTTCTCTCACAGGCTTGCTGTCCTCATTTGTGGAGGTGGAGTCTATTAAGCGTCACTTTAAGAGTCGGTTGGTTGGCACTGTCCTTAACGGCTACCTGTGCTTAAGGAAGTTGGTGGTCCAGAGAACCAAACTGATCGATGAGACCCAAGACATGCTGCTGGAGATGTTGGAGGACATGACTACAGGTTCCAGCCTTCACCTTCAGATCTTCTCTGAGGTTTTTTGTTATTAGAGACCAAATCAGCTCAATGCTATATCTTCTTTTATAGGGACGGAGTCTGAGACCAAAGCATTCATGGCTGTGTGCATCGAAACTGCAAAGCGGTACAACCTGGATGATTATCGCACCCCTGTCTTCATCTTCGAGAGGTTATGTAGCATCATTTATCCAGTAAGTAGACTTCAGCTCATTAACATTTTCTTCTAACTTTTGGAATAATGATTTTGGTCAAACTAATTTCTCCCATCTGTGTGTATGAAGGAGGAGAATGAGGTGACAGAGTTCTTTGTTACACTGGAGAAGGACCCACAGCAGGAGGACTTCCTGCAAGGCCGTATGCCAGGAAACCCATACAGCAGTAATGAACCAGGCATTGGCCCTCTCATGAGAGACATCAAGAACAAAATCTGCCAGGATTGCGATCTTGTGGCACTACTGGAGGACGACAGCGGCATGGAGGTATGTAATCTTCCTCAGTACTATGTCCTAGGACTTTTTCAAATAAATCACTTGGCATTATTTGTATTTCTAAGTAGGGCTGGGCGATATGGTCAAAAAATTATCATGATAATGTTTTTTCATATCAGTCGCTATCGATAATTATCATGATAAATGTCAAATTTTTATTTCTTTCAACACGATAAATGTCAAATTTTTTTTTTTTTCAAGTTTAAAGGCAGATTTTTGCTTCAGTGTGAAAGTTGTAAAAACCAGACAGTTGATTGTGGTTTTAAACTATTCTTTATGGTCAGAACATGACAAACACTTCACGTTTTTGAATTCTTTACACTTTTCCAGTCTTTTTTCCTTAACAAAATAAATATCTTAATTGAGAAAAATAATTTCTTAGTTCTGCACGTTCTGAGTAATATTGTTTCAAATCAAGAAACGGGTTTGTGTTGCCTGATAATATTAATAATAATATAAAAAATTTTGTCTCTTAGAAATACACATTTAATAGTAGCTTAAGTTAGGATGCAGATGTAGATTTATGTTCATTATCAAAATCCGTAATATCTGTAAGTGTTGTAGCAACCTCATTTTATATGTTGAAATTTAATTATTCAGACTGTTTGAGTTTTTTTTTTTTTTTTATTTAACCACTGGTCTTCCATAGTAGCATATATTTAGATCATGATAATCACAGTTAAAACCTAAAATATAGCACCTCAATACCATGGTAAAAATGTAATATGGTTTTGAGGTATTTGTATGAAAAACAGTAGCTAGGCTAAATTAATTTTGTATAAATGCATAAACGCTAGCTAGCTTAATCACACAAAAAAAATACTGTAATTATATTCCATCACTCCTCCGATACATTTAAAACATGTCTACATTAATAATATATATTCGACACAAATACCCACATTTCTGACACAATACCATGGTGCAGTTAGTGCTACAGTAAATCTATGGTAAATGATGGCAATTTGTAGATTAAAAAGTCTTCTAACTGTATCGTTGCGCACCGTGTTTCTCCTGTTTGTCAGCGCTGTATCATCTGGCTGTAAGCGCTAAATGCAGGCGTTTCACACTGGATCTCACAGCACCATCTGCTCTAGTGAAGCTCGCGCCGCTGTTTGAACTTTGATCTGAGTGGATAAACGGTCCGAGTGACGCGCTTCAAATGAGTTGTGCTCTTTCGTTCCGCCTTTGCCTCATAAACATTATATTGATAATTTATCGACCTCTTGTTATCGTTTATCGAGGAAATTTATACCGCGCGATAATTATCGTTATCGATTTATTGCCCAGCCCTATTTCTAAATTATTTTTAAACCTTAATAAAGCAAGAAAAAACTAATAAAAATAAATGTAAAAAAATATTTTAAAAAATGTATTAACTATTTTAAATATATATTATACATTTTATAAATATTTATATATTACATTTTACAAATATTTGAAAAAATGTTTGACTGCCAAAGTTATGAGTTGTGCCTAAAGGCCTTTTCACACTGAACGCGAAAATTCGGCGCAAATATTCGGTGCGATGATGCTTTTGAATCGAAACAATAGATCCCTATGAGGCTATTCACACCAGGCACAATCATTCGTGGCATGAAAAAGCGAGGATTTTTTTTTTTCGTCCTGTGATGATTTTTTTCCCCCGGTCGCGCCGTGACGAAACAGGCCATCCAATCAGATTTGAGCTTAGATCACATGCCTGGAGCAGCTGCTGTTGCACAAAAGGGTGAGAGTGGTGGTGCGGTTTCAAAAACCAGTGTAAACAAACACTGAAGAAGAGTATTCCGAGAGTGACGAGAGTGGATGCCGAGTTATCATTAGGCGCGTTTCCATTACAGATTTGTGCAAAACTTTGGCGATATTTTATAAATGTCAATAAAAAAGTATTGCGAAATGACGGCGTTTCCATTAACCAATGTTATGCGACTAAAACGTAACCTTTTGCCTTTCGCGATAAGTCATGGCAACGGATTTTAGTGGGATTTTGACGGATTTTGGCTATATTTATTCAAAGGAGGCTTATGCGTGTATCTTTACAGAAGCAGCAAAGAGAGCCGCTTCAGAAACGTGCGTGGTGCAGCTGGAATAAACCATAGCCTGTATAAAAACATATACAAAAGCATTGAGTGGCCGCAATCAGCTTCAGTGACCGTATCAGAGCCACACTGCACCACAGACGTGTGCAGTGTAAATTGTCTAAGCATTAATGGTAGGGAAAGCCCCCTATACTGGAGCGCGGCCACTTGTGAAGTGTTCTTGGCGGTTATAGTACATTGAAGAATGATCATATGACTTTTTACATACGCCATGTGACCTGTAAATGCGAAAAAGCCGTTTCCATTGCAGTTTTGCGAATTATTCCTTTTTCGCATTGCCAGAAAAACCACCTCATGCTAGTGTAAAAACTTTTTTGCGATATATGGGAGTTTTTGCGAAATTGACGTGTTTCCATTAAGCGTATTTTCAATTCGCAATTTCAATTTGTGCAATTTGAAGGGTAATGGAAACGCGCCTATTGGTATCTGAGAACAGATTTATTCTCACATGTTCTTAATATAATTTCTATTAATTCTCCACTAAATTATGTGATGTGGAGAGCACTGTTCGTTTTCTTCCACGTGTGCGAGTGTTATGAGTGTCAGAGCGCATTCACTCTCTACCCAGCTAACACGATGTAACAGTTACATATTTTTGTTAGCTGGGTAGATCTTCCGTATTAAAAAAATCGAGTGAAACATTTTTCTACACATGAAATATGAAAGCAAATAGACATATGATTATGACTATATATTTTCTGTATGTGTTTTGTATGCTCATGGTATTTTTATAACAATAAAGGATGTTTATGACAATAAGCAGTGTGGCGTTATTAAACATACAAAGAGTGCATGTCTGCCTATTATAGAATCAAAATCAACTATAGATCACAGTCGGAAGTTACAAGCACTCGATGATGGTTTAAAGTGGATTTTAAGCAAGTACATTAATAACTACAAAAATGTTCAAATGTGGCTTGATGCTAATTGTACTTCTGTTTATATTTTAAGATGTTTTCTTGTAAGCATTATAGATAGTTTTTGTTTCTGGTGTGGAACCAAACTTTATTTATATTAAGTTAATGCTATATATTGAGCAGCGGACGATGTTAAAAGCATATATGAGATTCATATCTGAGGAAAAATGTATTGTTGGTCGGCGCCATCTAGCGTGCAGGTGTGAATTAGCAGAAGGTGATCAATCGTTTCGCGCTCAGTGTGAAAGCACCGTTCATCGGCGATTCGCCTCGCTTTTTTGTTTTCAGTGTGAAACAACCTTAACTATGTCAAGTGGCGCAACCAGAAACATGCATGAATGAAAACAAGGTTTTTACATAATTTAAAAATAAAAAAAAAAATACGATTTTTTTTTTGTTTGTTTTGGGCACTCTTATCTGATCCTCTATTGAAATATGTTTTTAAAGATGACTTTTTTCTTTGCAGCTCCTTGTGAATAACAAGATCATCAGTTTGGATCTGTCTGTTGCTGAGGTCTATAAGAAGGTTTGGTGCCCCACCAATGAGGTAAGCTAAAGAAGATAAAAAGGTACTTTATTTTTACATATCCACCATGGTTTAAACGCTCTGTTTCTTGCAATAAAGGGTGAGCCAATGAGGATCATCTACAGAATGAGGGGGCTTCTGGGAGATGCAACAGAGGAGTTCATTGAGTCTTTGGACTCAACTACAGGTTGGTTTTATGTTGCAGGACCCTTTCTTTAACATAAGTTTCGTTTTTTTCCCCATAGTTTATCTCATGTTTCTCACTTGTAATTGGTGTTTTCTCTCTGTTCAGATGAAGAGGAGGATGATGAGGAGGTATATAAGATGGCTGGAGTGATGGCGCAGTGTGGAGGTCTGGAGTGCATGTTGAACAGGCTCTCTGGAATCAAAGATTTCAAACAGGGCAGGCACCTTCTCACAGTGAGTATGAAGTTCAGCTCTATAATTCATCACTCTACAGATTTCCTCAGAAACTGAAGAAAATTCTAATGATTGCGTTTTGCTTTATAGGTTCTCCTCAAGTTATTTAGTTATTGTGTGAAAGTGAAAATCAACAGACAGCAGCTGGTGAAACCGGAGATGAACACACTGAATGTTATGTTGGGCACATTGAATCTGGTAAGTAACATACCAGAGGAATCATCTGATGAGATCAAATGTAATATTTAAGAGAATATTTGTAATTGGATGTTGTATTCCAGGCCTTGGTGGCAGAGCAGGAGAGCAAGGACAGTGGAGGAGCATCCATAGCAGAGCAGGTTCTTAGTATTATGGAGATCATCCTGGATGAGGCCAATGCGGAAACTGTGTCTGAAGACAAGGTCAGCAAGACATTTTGATTTATGCAATGAATATTATAACAAAATAGAAGGGAGACAGCTGTATTCATATCTCTGTTGTGTTTCTCCTCCAGGGTAACCTGCTGCTGACGGGTGATAAGGACCAGCTGGTGATGCTGCTGGACCAGATCAACACATTGTTTGTGCGTTCCAATCCCAGTGTCCTACAGGGGCTGCTCCGCATCATCCCTTACCTGTCCTTCGGTGAACTAGAGAAGATGCACATCCTGGTCGAGCGCTTTAAACCCTGCTGCAACTTCGACAAGTATGGTGTTTGTTCATCTTAGACCTAGAACTCTGACTTTTCTTTGTAACAATAGTAAAATTCTGCTGCATTAAACACCATTTGTTTTCATATACAGGTATGATGAGGAGCACAGTGCAGATGACAAGGTCTTTCTGGACTGTTTCTGTAAAATAGCTGCTGGAATCAAGAATAATAGTAATGGACATCAATTGAAAGACCTCATCTTGCAGAAGGGCATCACCCAGAGTGCTCTGGATTATATGAAGAAACATATCCCCTGTGCTAAGAAGTATGTCATAATATAATAATAGTGTTTATTTCTATATTTTTGTATAAATATATATATAATACTTTAATATAATTTGATTATAATATAGTGTTCATTTTTATTTATAGTAAATACTGGTATATGCTTTAATACAATATAGTATCTTTTATACATATCCCAAAATACATATTGTAGATATTATAAATTATATTTAGATACATATTTATGATTTGTTTATTTATATATATTCAAATACATTATATATAAAAACATGTATCATTTATAATACTGTAATTATTATTTATAGTAAATAAATGTATTAATATTTGTTTTATTTTTATTTGTTATTATTAAAATGTAATTTGTATTTGTATTTATTAATGTGTATATATCTACACATTAATAAAAACTAAATTTAAATAAAAATATAAATTACATTTTTAATCATAAAAAAGAAAACTAACACATATATATTAATACATACAGTAGATTTACTATAAATAATAATTACAGTATAATAAATTATGTATGTGTGTCTGTGTGTGTGTAGTGCAGATAGAGTCCGGATATCCAGAAATACATTTTATAGATACATATTTATTATCTCTATTTTCTTATGTATTAGATTTTGTTTTATGTTTATAAGTTTGATAAGTTATTCATTCATATTTTTTCATTTATACAATATAAAATAAATCATTATTTTTTAACTAATGAAAAATATAAAACAACAAGAAATGCAATGCATCTACCTTATCCAAAAACATTACTATTATAAAGTGATTACCTAAACTGTAAATAATATTTGCAGCCTGGATGCAGATGTTTGGAAGAAGTTCCTTGCTCGACCAGCCCTTCCGTTTATCCTGAGACTGCTGCGTGGTCTGGCCACCCAGCACCCCCCTACACAGGTAACACTTTTATCACTAGTTTGAGAAGTTTTGATCTTTTTATTTCATGCAGTATCCCTGTACACAGACAACTAACATAAATCATCTTTTCTCCTCTTCTTATAGATGCTAATCGGTACAGATTCAATAACCAATTTACACAAGCTGGAGCAGGTGTCCAGTGACGAGGGTATCGGCACTTTAGCAGAGAATCTTCTGGAGGCACTAAGGGAACTCGCAGAGGTTAACCTGAAGATCGACGCTGCCCGAAGGGAGACTCGAGCGGAGAAGAAACGCATGGCCATGGCGATGAGGCAGAAAGCTCTCGGCACACTGGGAATGACAGTGAGTTGCAAATATATATAGAAGCTTGATGTATAATCGACTATGAATTCAAATTTTTCTGTTTTTCACTTTGTTTTAGACCAATGAGAAGGGCCAGGTGGTGACCAAGACGTCCCTGCTTAAACAGATGGAGGAGCTCATAGAAGAACCTGGGTTGACTTGCTGTATTTGTAGAGAGGGCTACAAGTTCCAGGTCCATTTATCTACCAATGATGTTTTATTTAGCTGTAGATGTAAATGCTCAACCTCTTCATTGTCTTATCCTTGATCATACTTTGTACCCCACAGCCAACCAAAGTTCTGGGCATCTACACATTTACAAAGCGTGTGCCCCTAGAGGAGTTCGAGAACAAACCCCGCAAGCAACAGGGCTACAGCACTGTCTCACACTTTAACATAGTCCACTATGACTGTCATCTTGCTGCTGTCAGGTGCGTGAAACTGCAATAGATTTGATTAAATTAATATTTCACCCAAAATCAATCATTTACTCACCCTCAAGTTGTTCCAAACCTGTATGAGTTTCTTTCGTCTGTTGAACACAAAAAAGATATTTTGAATAATGTTGGTAACCAAACAGCTGACGGTAGCCATTGACTTCCATAGTATGGAAAAAAATACTGTGGAAGTCAATGGCTACCGTCAACTGAGGGTGATTAAATGATGACAGAATTTTTTATTTTTGGGTGAACTATCGCTTCAAGGAAGGTTTTATCATCTCACATGTTTCATAATGTTCTCTCTTGTCGGTCTGGATCAGGCTTGCCAGAGGGCGTGAGGAATGGGACAGTGCCGCACTACAAAATGCCAACACAAAGTGCAATGGTCTCCTACCAGTATGGGGGCCTCATGTACCCGAATCTGCCTTCGCCACCTGCCTGGCAAGGTACGTCATGCCTGCAGCTTATTTAAAGCTAAGCTGTACTCCTGAATATTTACAGGATTTTAAGCTTGTTTTGTACCGTTACAGGCACAACACATATCTGCAAGAGTGCACAGGGCAAAGGGAACCCACGTACCAGCTCAACATTCACGATACCAAGCTGCTGTTCCTGCGCTTTGCTATGGAGCAGTCCTTCAGCGTGGACACAGGGGGAGGAGGCCGCGAGAGCAACATCCACCTCATCCTTTACATCATTCACACCATTCTCTACGTCCTCAACACGTACGTTTATCAAAGATGAGAATTGAGTTCTAGTGCGTTTTGAGATTCGAAACATTTTTCTGAATTTCTCTTCAGAACAAGGGCCACGTCACGGGAGGAGAAGAATCTTCAGAGCTTCTTAGAGCAGCCTTGTGAAAAGTGGGTGGAGACTTCGTACGAGGTGGACGGGCCGCACTACTTCACCATATTGGCCATGCACATCCTGCCACCTGAGCGCTGGAGGACTACGCGTCTCGACTTTCTTCGTAGGCTGCTGGTCACTTCACATGCCCGCAAGGTTTCACAAGGGGGTGCTAACAAGTAAGGGAACAAAGCATGCCTGTGCATGTGTCAGAGCATGAACTTTAAAGAGCTTGTACAAGCGCGTGCTGTACTTTACGTGCTGAGGGTGTCTATTTTTTTGGTTTTGGCAAGTGTTTTGTGCTTACTCAAACTGCCGATGTTTGCTTTAAGACTGTATTATGCCTTAGAAGATTGATGCAAGATTATATCAGACATGGCTTGTGCTGGGTGTGTCAGATTGTTTCAGGCCTCAGTATTACTGTTTGTAAAATTTTTCGCTTTCAGAGTGACTACTGTTTCAGAATTTTTTTTTAAATTTTAATTATATATTATATAATGTAATATATAATTATATTATTTTATGCAATATTATTAATATAATTACATATATGCATGCATTTTGTGTGTGTGTGTGTATATATATATATATATATATATATACACACACACACACACAAAATGCATGCATATATGTAATTATATTAATAATATTATTAATAAAATAATTACACATTGAGTGATTTAATTGCAGTTTTTGATTTAATTGCCATATTGATAATGCATTTCTTTTTAATTATTTTTTAATAATGATAATTGTTTAATTGCAGATTTTTTTTGTTTTTTGTTGTATTAAATTTCTACATTAAAACTATATATATCAAGCTATATATGTATGGTTATACATATATTTATGTGTCAGTTTTATTTGTTTTGAATAATATCTGTCTGATAAGTGATTTAATTGCATATTTGATTTTAATCGTTTCAGGCTCACAGACAAAGCCGTGAAGGAGTATGCTGTTTACCGCTCACCGCTTCTCTTCTGGGGTCTGGTGGATCTTGTCTATGATATGTTCAGGGTACGAGAATGTGTTATTTTTTTGCACTTGTGTAATTTCTAATAAGTTCATATTTCCATGAAATCTTCATTTTATCTGCCCATTCCCACAACAGAAAGTGCCCACCAGCAACACAGAGGGAGGCTGGTCCTTCTCGCTCGCAGAGTACATAAGGCACAATGACATGCCCATCTATGAGGCTTCAGAAAGGATTTTGAGGGCTTTCCAGGATGAGCTCATGCCTGCTGAATCCTTCTCCGAGTTCCTGGATGTCGTAGGTCAGACATTTTTAATACACTTTCCTGCCATGTACTGAACCCAAAGCTCAGTGAAAAAAAATGTTGAGCTATCGAATATTAATCTCTTAATATTCGACTCTTTTCCCAGGTCTTTTGTCAGACATCCCAGATCCTGACACCTTCCTGCAGGACCTGTTGAACTCTGTGCCCTGATGGCACACTTTATGCACCTCACTTATGGACTCGTGAGCTCTCTGTCCAGTGCAGGTGTTCCTTAAACACGGAGTCTGTCTGTTACCCGGACACCGCTATTTGCAACTCCATAAGGACACCTTTCAATCGGGGCCCAGGCTCCCAAAACTTCTATCAGCTCGCATACACACTCATTCACCTCCACTTCTGCTCCTGATCTCCGCGTGGGTTCATTCAGTTATAACTCTCTCCTAAACAAGAAAGTGACGTGTAGCCTGACGAGTTAATACGCATTTACTCTACAATGGTTTTATAACACCTAATACACACAAACACACCATGCTGTTTTGATCCGACATGTTGCAGGTAATTTGATTTGGAATTATTTCATAATCAACCCTTTTATTTTTATTTTATTTTTCCCTTTTGTTTTTTTTGTTTATGGTGTTGTTTTTTTTTTTTTACTCTAAATTGGCTAAGAGTTACAGATTCACTAACTAATCTCTCATCGTCTTGGTCTATGTTTCTGGATTTTTTTTTTTTGATTTTTTTTTTGCAGTGGTGTTCAATGAATTGTTTGCAGTTCGTGAGAAAGGCAAGGCCTGACAGTGGTTCTGTGATGTGATGCAAATGTGTGACGATTGTTTTCCATGTGTAAATGGTTAAAGATTGAGATGAAAGTTTGTTTAATGTTATTCCCAAAAAATGAAAATACTTTCTGATTTGTAAAGGGTTTTACCTGCATCAACAATGAAACAAAGATAAAGAATAAAAAGGGCCAGCATATTTATTTTGGGAGCCTTTTTCCACTTTGTTTTTCTGGTTGGGTTTGTGTTTTGATCAAAATCACGATAACTAAATTTCTTTTTTGTTATGTCTTCCATGTGTCCGTAATTCACACCGTAATATTCTGCAGATTAAAGATTTTCCCCAGAGCAAGTTGTGCCTCTGGTAAGCAAGGTGCCACTGAGAAGAGTCTCAGTGATTTTAAGTTTATTCTTACAATATAAACACACACCTGTGATAGGGTGTTCTTGAGCTGAATGCATGGTGTGAAGTTTGTTTTAAAAAAAGAAAACCAGAAAAACCCAGTTAGTGTTTATTCGCCTATTCCCGCTGCTACAATGTTCAACTGTTGCTGAATGTCTGCTTTTGAATTAGCTCAAATTAATAAAGGTGTAAGAATACCATATCTGACTGAATGTGTCATCTAAGCAGTGTTATTTAGTACTTGCATACTATTATTGCATTTATTACTTTTATTTTTATATTTTCAGTTTATTTCAGTTTGTTTTAGTATATGCCTTCATACTATTTAATATGTAGTTATATATATATATTTCTATTTAGCTTTATTTTTCAGCAAGACAAACACTGCATCAGATATAATAAAACTGCGAAGGGAGGGTTCTTCACTTCTGGAATTTTCTTTAAAGGTTCTCTAAATCCTTCTATCCAGTATGTTTTCTTGTCCCCATCACAGACACTGTAATATACAGTATAAAATATGACAGAAATCCTTTTTTTCTTTCCACATTATCACAATTAATTGAAAGTATGAGTGAATTTTAATCCATTTCGCTACTTTTGCTTGAGTAGACGAGTCATTATATCTGTGTTCTACCTGACAATTTATAAATTGGATGTTCTTCAAGGTTTCCTTTGTATAATCAAGACTTAACTTGTTTTCTATTGTTTTAATTAAGTTAAACTGTTTGTCAAGTCACTATGACGATATCACTTTCCATCCTGTTAAGTATTTTAGTAAAAACCCTTGACAAAAGACTTCCTCTGGGACGTGACCTCATTTTGGTGGGAGAAGAACAGCACAATCGCACCTATTAATGGATCTTCTGAGTATTAATCATAATGATTTACAATTATAAATGTTCTGAAATGAAAAGTGTCAAATCGTGATCGTAGCATACTTATAGCATATTTAAACATATTTCGACGTTTTCTGTACCCTTTTATAGAAACATTTGCTTAAATTACAAGACAAAAAAATATTGATTTTAAGTTGCAAAGTTCAAATAAGAAGCTACTGTACAGATCACAAACAAAGTTCTCTTTTATAACTTCTTGAACACTTATACAAAGCCAAATATTTAATATGTAAATACTTTTAAAGACACAGCGCTAATGCCCGAACCCCTCATGTAATATGTTAATTAGAAGGGCGTGTCTTACAGACAGTAGCCAATGCTACTGTTGCTGGAGGGCGGAGCGGACATGTCTTCTTCTCCTCCCGTTTCCTTCGGATGGTGTTCTCAGACTGGGCTGAAACCTGAGTCTCTACGGCGAGTTGAGACCAATAACCAAACCGTTTCATCACCAGCGGATGGTAGGAGGGCAGCTGAGAGTTCATGAAATGTGTACTGGTCAATGCGCTTTATCCGACCGCTAGAAGCGCGACTATGGCCTATTATTTGTGTGACATTAGATAAAGGGAGTGCACCTTGCGTCTGAGAGCATGGAGGTGACGTATGCAGCTTTACAGCATCTCCAGTTTGATGCCTAGAAACACTGCTCACGAATAAAAATGGATTTACCTCGTCGTTTTCCGGACCCGCTTCTCAACTCGATGTTGTTCAATGAATCCGCGGCACCCGTCGGTATGAATGAAGCGTGTACGGCTGGGAGCGGGTCCGGCGCCATGGCAACCAGCGCGTTGAGAAACGATTTGGGCTCCAACATTCATGTGTTAAAAACTCTCAATCTCCGCTTCCGCTGCTTCCTTTCCAAAGTCCACGAGTTAGAGCGCAGAAACAAGTTATTGGAGATCCAGCTGCAGCACGCCCAAGAGCAGTCCCGGTACCGACTGCTGTTTTCCCGGGAGCAAGCGGTCCAGACGAACCTCGAGCTGCCTTATTCAAACGCACTGTTTCAGTCGAGACTCCCCGGTAGAATCTGGAGTTTCTCACACACCGCCCGATACGGAGGACGGTTTGAGACTCATCAGGGGCCTGGAGTGTCTTGGACTCATCCGGACGGTGTCGGGGTTCAGATTGACACCATCACACCTGAACTCAGGGCCTTATACAATGTTTTGGCAAAAGTCAAGCGCGACAGGGACGAGTACAGGAGAAAGTGAGTGCAGCTCCAGCTTATATTTCAAGTGTTTGTCTGCAAAAAGTGGGGAAGTTAATGTCTTTATCAACAATTTTCTTGTAAATCAAGAAACATTATGGTCACTGCAATTATTGTTACGATAAAGCTCTGGTAACTTGATATTAGTTACCACTGTCATCTATTGTCATCTACTGTCTGAAACAAAACGAAAGCTTGTTACATTATTGGTTGGTTTTACATTAAGAACAATAACTGTAATATTGTTATGGTAAGTATGTACTTTGGCCAAAACTATGCTTACAATTAGATAGATATAGAGCAATAATTGGTTTGATCGACCAACATATTGAATAATGGTTGGCCTATTATTTACCAAAATGTCAAAGTAACCTATTTAATCTATTATTGATCTATAATAATAATAATAATAATAATAATAATATTATTATTATTATAAAACAAGCAAAACAGCCAAAATCTCAATCACAAAAGAGATTTGAATAAATGTTATATTATTATCATTAAACTTATTTTTTGTTATTAAAATTGTTATTTATCTGCATATTCCCAACAGGGAATGTTCTCAGAACTTTGGTGAACGTAAGGTAAAATCCAGTTAAATTAATTAAACATTTGTTCTAAGTTATCTGGTCTTTAATAATGTTCTCAAAACTGTTAGCACAATGTTACTTTTTGTTCATGCATGGAATCTTTTTCTAAACCAGTTTATTTGGACATTCATCTGCCATATTGTAAAAGTTGCTTCCTACTCATTTGAGAACTTTCAAAAGTAGCATTACTATAACATGTAGAAAATGATAAAATGGAACATTCCCTTAATGTTTTCTCTAACGTTCGCATAACCAAGAACAAACATTTTTACTTTTTTTTTTTTTTTGGGACATTTTGAATATTCAGAAAACATTGAAATAACAATTCTATATCCTAATGGGAATGTTACGAACACATTCTTAGAACATATTTTTTGTTGGCTGGGTTATCAAATATTTTAAACAAAATAGCCCTTCTCATTCTAAAAACAAAAACTTTGCCCCCTGTGTGTTCATAGTAAACAAGAGTGTGTGATTCCTTTCTGTTTTGTGCGGCTGTCCCTGGGGCTTGTTTTTTTTCAGTGTCTTAACAGTAAGTCTCTATCAGTAACCCCTGTATGTTCTCTGGTATCCTATTACAGAGTGTCCAGTTTGGATATGAAACCTGAGAAAGCAGGGGTGACATTTTATCTGACAGAAACCAGTAGCTTTTTCTCTCCTCCAAATGGGGATCTGTGCAAACCCATCCCATTCAATAGCAGTTTGTGGGATCTGCCCTAGAACTTCAGTAGAATCTCTTTACAGTTTCTCTTTTTCTCTTTGGGGACTAATAATTATTGTTATTGCTCCACGCAATACACTTCCACCCATTTTGTGCAGGTTTGGTTCATACATAAGGAATTTCCCCTGATTATATTCTCTTTTCTCTGTGTCATTCAGTTCGTTGTCTGATTCAACCATTTATTTTTGTCATCTGCAATAGCAAATTGACCAGTGCATGTTGATTTAGAAGATACATTTCCTGTTCTTGTTGCTAAAAGATGCTTGATTTATGTGTCTGCTGCTGGGAAAGTGATGAACAAAACATTTGTGCCAAATTCCTTGTTTCTGACCCACACCAGACAGTGTGGGGGCTCATTCATTGCTCAATAGAAGTGAGTTACTGTAACTTTAAGGCATTTCCGGTCATCTAGAAACCCCATAACTACAGGAACCCTGAGATGCTATTGTGTTTCTCCGACTGTTCCTCTTGGCTGTGCTGCTATCTTAGTTTGTGTCAGTGGCTCTGTTGTAATAATAATTTAATAGTCTGGCTATAGAAGGCCCAGAGGGGTTTCTCGTCTGCCAGAACAGATGTAGTCTGTCTGTGAGAAGCAGCGGACGAATGAGCCACACAATGATTCATTTCCAGATCTTGAGTGAGCTAGAAACCCCACTTCATAAAGAGTGCCTGCTTCCTTTGATTATTCACTGCTTACAGTAGCCGTGCTGTTAGGAATGTGCTATTTTTGAGATAAATGTTTGAGTAAATAGTCATATGTTTGCCTTTCCTTAAGTGGTAAACTCAAAATTAACTATTTTTTGCATTGCTGTCTTAGTTCTGCTGTCGTCTCATGTTTGTTTTGGCCCTCAGATAGAGTGTCACAGTAGCAGCCGGTCAGTTAGGATGGATGTTGGTGGTCTGTTATATTAAATACGATCCGAGACAGGTGGAGAGTGTGGCATCAGACTCATATGCAAAGACTGTCTCCTAGGAAATCATTTAAACAAATATAAGCGGCTTATAAATAAGGCATAGGTTTGGCAACAGGCTGAATGTTTTGAGTAGCTTGTGTTCTTTAAAGGGGTCATATGATGCGATTTAAATTTTTCCTTTCTCTTTGGAGTGTTACAAGCTCTTGGTGCATAAAGAAGATCTGTAAAGTTGCGAAGACTAAAGTCTCAAATCCAAAGAGATATTTTTTATAAAAGTTAAGAGTCAACCACGCCTACCTAAAACGGCTCGTTCTAACACGCCCCCACATGTCTACGTCACGATGTGGGAAGATTTGCATAACGCCGCCCAAATGTTCACGCAAAGAAAGAAGGCATAACTTTTATTCTCAGTGTAGTATTGTTGTTGCCGCCGCCGCCATGTCGTGAAGGCGCTGTGTGTTTTGTTGTGAAAGCGAAACTACTTTGTTTGGCCTTCCAAAAGAGGACGATATCCACGTCGTCATGCCTGGAGCTGATCCGTGCTGGTCGCTGAGGAAATATATCAACTTCGCGCTGTGGATCGCCGGATCGGCTTTCACCGTGGACGAAGCGGAGTCCAGCCCGG